TCTCAGCAGCAAATGGAACATTCTCCAAAATTGATCATATCTTAGGGCACAAAAAATCCTCAGCAAATATAAGAAAATAGAAATAAAACCATGCATTCTATCTGATCATAATATGTTAAAACTAGAACTCAACAACAAAAACAACAGCAGAAAATATGCAAACAATTAGAAGCTGAACAACACATTGCTCGATGATCGGTGGGTCATTAATGAAATAAAAGAGGAAATTAAAAGGTTCCTGGAACTTGATGAAAATGAAACCACGACCTACCAGAACTGATGGGACACAAAAGGCAGTCTTAAGAGGAAAGTTTATAGCCAGGAGTGCATATATTAAAAGGACAGAAAGATCACAAATCAATGACCTAATACTACATCTCAAACTCCTTGAAAAAAAAGAACAAGCAAATCCCAAAACAAGCATAAGGAAAAAAATAATAAAAATAAGGGCTTAAATCAATAAAATAGAAACAAATAAAACCATACAAAGAATCGGTGAAACAAAAAGCTGGTTCTTTGAAAAAATAAGTAAGATTGATGGACCCTTGGCAAATCTGACTAAAATGAGGAGAGAAAAAACTGAAATCAGTAGAGTCAGAAATGCAAAAGGGGAGATAACAACAAACACCATGGGAATCCAGGAAATCATCAGAGACTACTCTGAGAGCCTATACTCTAATGAATTTGAAAATCTTGAAGAAATGGACAGATTTGTAGAAACTTACAACCACCCAAAATGGAAGCAAGAGGATATTAATCACCTGAACATATCTATAACACAAAACAAAATTGAAGCAGAAATCAAGAGTCTCCCAAAAAGGAAAAGTCCAGGACCTGATGGATTCACTGCTGAATTCTATCACACATTTAAAGAAGAACTAATAGCAACTCTCCTTAAACTGTTCCAAAAAATAGAAAAGGAAGGAACACTGCCTAACTCATTTTATGAAGCCAATATTACTCTCATCCCCAAACAAGACAGATACCTCCAAAAAGGAGAACTACAGGCCAATTTCCTTAATGAATATTGATGCAAAAATCCTTAATAAAATAATGGCAAACAGAATCCAACAACACATCAGAAAGATCATTCACCACAACCAAATTGGCTTCATCCCAGGGATGCAGGGGTGGTTCAACATACACAAATCTATAAATGTAATACAGCACAATCAATTGAAGTGAAGACAAAAACCACTTAATCATCTTCATAGATGCAGAAAAAGCCTTCATCAAGATCCAACACCACTTCATGATAAAAGCTCTAAGAAAACTAGGAATAGAAGGAATGTACCTCAACATTGTAAAGGCTATTTATGACAAACCTACAGCCAACATCATACTTAACGGTGAAAAATTGAAACCATTCCCTCTAAAATCAGGAACAAGACAAGGGTGCCCACTATCCCCACTCCTATCCAACACAGTACTGGAATTTCTAGCTAGAGCAATTAAGCAAGAAGAAGAAATAGAAGAAATATAAACAACAAGAAACTGTCTAAATGTCCTTATTTGCAGATGATATGATCCTATATCTTAAAGACACATAAAACTCTACCCTAAAACTCTTAGACACCATAAACAGTCTCAGTAAGGTGGCAGGATACAAAATCAACTTACTAAAATCATTAGCTTTTCTATACACCAACAATGAACAAACTGAGAAGGAACATATGGAAACAATTCCATTCACAATAGCCTCAAAAAAATCAAATACCTAGGTGTAAATTTAACAAAGGATGTGAGTGATCACTACACGGAGAATTACAAACTCCTGAAGAAAGAGATTGAGGAAGACTACAGAAGATGGAGAGATCTCCCATGCTCATGGATCGGTAGAATCAACATAGTAAAAATGGCTATGCGACCAAAAGCAATCTACATGTTTAATGCAATTCCCATCAAAATTCCAATGACTTTCATCACAGAGATTGAAAAATCTACCCTAAAGTTCACTTGGAAACACAAGAGACCACAAATAGCTAAGGCAATACTCAGCAAAAAGAGCAATGCTTGAGGCATCACAATACCTGACTTCAAACTATGTTACAAAGCAATAGCAATAAAAACAGCATGTTATTGGCACAAAAACAGACATGAAGACCAGTGGAACAGAATAGAGGACCTGGATATGAATCCACACAACTATACCCACCTCATTTTTGATAAACGTGCCAAAAATATATGATGGAGAAAAGACAGCTTCTTCAAGAAATGTTGCTGGGAAAAGTGGTTACCATCTGCAAGAAACTGAAAGTAGATCCATGCCTATCACCTTGTACTAGTATCAACTCAAAATGTGTCAAGGACCTAAATATCAGACTTGAAACTGTGAAGTTACTACAGGAAGGAACAGGAATCACTCTGGAAGTAATAGGTATAGGCAAAGACTTCCTCAATAGAACCCCAGCAGCTTCAGCAACTAAGAAAAAGGATGGAAAAATGGGACTTCATAAAATTAAAAAGCTTCTGCACAACAAAAGAAATGGTCTCTAAACTGAAGAGACCACCCACAGAGTGGAGAAAATATTTGCCAGCTATACACCAGACAAGGGGACTGATAACCAGAATGTACAAGGAAGTTAAGAAACTAAACTCTCCTAAAATCAATGAACCAATTAAGAAATGGGCAACTGAACTAAACAGAAGTTTCTTAAAAGAAGAAATTCAAATGGCCAAAAAAATATGAAAAATGTTCATCTTCTCTGGCCATAAAGAAAATGCAAATCAAAACCACACTAAATACCACCAACAACATGTGTTTGTGAAGATGTGGGGAAAAAGGATCCCTCATACATTGCTGGTGGGAATGCAAGCTGGTGCAACCACTTTGGAAAAAATTTGGAGGCTTCTTAAAAATCTAAACATAGGTCTGCCATATGATCCAGCAATCCTACTCCTGGGGATAAACCCAAAGGAATGCAACACAGGTTACTCCAGAGGCACCTACACACCCATGTTTATTGCGGCGCTATTCACAATAACCAAGTTATGGAAACAACCAAGATGCTCCACTACTGATGAATGTATCAACAAAATGTGGTGCTTGTACACAATGGAATTTTACTCAGCCATGAAGAAGTATGAAATCTTATCATTTGCAGGTAAGTGGATAGACCTGGAGAATATCATTCTCGTGAGTTCAGCCAGGCTCAGAAGACCAAATATCATTATGTTCTCCCTCATATGCAGACTTTAGATCTAGGGCAAATGCAGCAATGTGGTTGGACTTTGATCACATGACAGTGGGAGAGCACATACCGGAGATACAGGAATAGGTAGAAAACCCAAAACATGAAAGTGTTGCAGGTCCCTACTCTAGAGGAACTATAAAGTGACAGAGGTTAACATGAGAATGGGATCAGTAACCAGTGTAAAGAACAGTTAGAGATGAATCAACATGGGTTGTAACACATGTGTACATGAAAGCATCACTAGGAATCTCTCTGTATAGCTCTCCTTAACTCAACTAGCAAAAATGCTTTGTCTTCCTTATTATGCTTATGTCTTTTCTTCAACAAAATTAGTGATAAGAGCAGAACAGGACCTTCCTGGAACTGGGAGCAGGGGAGGGGAGCAGGGTGAGAAATGACCCAAAAAATGTATGCAAATTTGAAGTAAATGAATAATTTAAAAAATGAGCTTGATGAATTAAAAAAAAACAAAAAAAGAAAAGCAGTTTCAGAAATAGAAATATAGCACTATTGTTTTCTCAGTGAAATTTTTGAATAGCATGAAAATTGTAGTAATATATGAATATAGCAAAAATGTTTCCCTGTGTTTACCTTGTCACGTGACTATGCCCTTTTGTTGAAAAACAAAACATGAACATGTTAGCAGTATAGATGTCTCAGGGAAACAGAAATATTTATTTAAATGTGGTGCCAGGTTTATGTATCTCTCATTAAAACATGCAAAAAATAAAAACATATTTTAATTATTTATCACAGTTTTTTTCTCAAATTAGGACACTTAGAATAGTAGGATAGGAACCAAAATATGTTACATATATATTTACATTCTAATACCCAAAGTAAATATCAAATTATGATTTTTAAACATTAGTCTATTAGATGGGATTCTCTAGTGAAACAGAATTAATAGGATAGAAATAGACACATAAAAGCAAATTTATTATGCTTATCAGCTTTTATGATAATGAAAGCCAAGAAAACCCATAATTTGCTCTGTATAAGCTGGACAACCAGGAAGGTATGTTGTCTAATGCATTCCTGAGTCAGAGACCTAAGAATCAAAGTCTAGTGTATGTCTTGGAGACTGAGGGTAGCAACTCTGACTTCCATATAAGACATAAGATGTACATATCAATTACATAAGACAAAGAGTGGATTTACACTTTCAACAACCTTTTTTCCTATTCAGGTGAAATGAACTGGATGATGGCCACCCACACTGATGAGGGAAGTAAATCTACTGTTTAAAATGGAGTTCTCTATTTGGAAAAATCTTCAAGACATATGCATATCAATGTTTTACTGCCTGTCTTGGTATCCTTTAATCTAGTCAAATTAGCACATAAGAGTAACTACCAAACAACCATGACATATTTCATCATGACAAATCTGCAACACCCATTTTTGTATGAGTCCTCATGGGGCACCTACATACACTTCTTCTAGTCATGAGCTTTATATGCCCTTGCTTAAATACATTTACATATGCATGATATGAAAAATTATAAGGAACATGGCTGCATACATAGGGATAGTTAACAAGGAAAATGGCTACATACATAGGGATAGTTAACAATGTTTTATACAAGCAGACTCTAATATACCATGGACATTTTTATTCAAGTGTTATGTTTCCTAACATAATGCAGATTTTTCTAGTCAAGGGCTATTTCACAAGGAAAGGTATCATTACAGTATCTCAAATTCAGGGTGGGTTTTTACAATATAATTCAGTACAGAGAGGATCTGAGAGGTAATAATGCAGGTACTTTTCATCCAAAAAGGCTTAAAATCAAAACCATAAAATTATTTTGCCTTGAAAACAATCTTTGTGAATGCACACTTGACCTCCTTGTTCCTCAGGCTGTAAACCACAGGGTTCAGCATGGGGATGATCATAGTGTAGAACACAGATGCGATTTTGTCTGTGTCCATGGAATGATTGGTACTGGGCTGTAAGTACATGAAGATAATCGTCCCATAGAAAATGGAGACTGCAGTAAAGTGAGAGGCACAGGTGGATATAGCTTTTTGATGTCCTGAAGCTGAGTGCATTTTTAAGATGGTTGTAAAAATGAACACGTAGGATATTAAGATTATTAGCAGAGCAAAAAAGATATTGAAGCTGGCTACATAAATAAGAACTAGATCATTAACATGTCTATCTGAGCAAGACACAAACATGACTGCTGGAATATCACAGAAAAAATGATGAACCACATTAGACTTATAGTAGGACAGAAGGAATGTGTTCCCAGTGTAAACAGCAGCACTAAGGAAACTACAGATATAACAGCCTGTAACCAAACATGTACACACACTTGTTGTCATGGTGGTAGTATAACGTAGAGGTTTACACACTGCTGCATAGCGGTCATAGGCCATTGAGGCCAAGAGGTAATTTTCCACAGTAGCAAAGGCTGAGAAAAAGAACATCTGTGTGGCGCAAACACCATAGGTCATGATCTTGTCTCCACTGATTAACCCAGCCATGACCTTAGGAGTGACAGCTGAAGAGTAAAAAAAGTCCACCAGAGACAAGTTACCAAGGAAAATGTACATGGGGGTGTGGAGACGAGAGTCCACAAGAATCAACAGGATCATCCCCAGGTTCCCAACCAGAGTGATGATGTAGATAAGGAGGAAGGTGATAAAGAGGGGAACCTGCAGGTGTGGGTCACTGGTCAGTCCCAGCAAGATGAACTCTGTCAGCTCTGTCTTGTTCTCCATCAATGTTACCTGAGAATCTCTATGTGTTCTTCAGCCATAATAAAAAGAAATGTGATGATAAAGAAACTGAATTGAAATCATGAAGGTTAACAACAAAAATTAAGTTGAACTTATGAAGTATAGTAGAAACTATTTTTTTGTAATTGCAACATTTTGTAATTTCCATTTCCCCAGAAAACTGTGGTGTTGAAAACCAAATTTATGGCATTAATTATAAATAGGCTTACATACTGTTGAATCTTCAGACTCTTTATTGGCTATATACCCAATTAAAAGTTTATACATTTCTGAAGTAAGACAGAAAATTTAGTAACTTGATGGAAATTACTTGTGTTGTTCAATCTGTTGCCAAAAATTCTCTTCTCCTGAGCTCAATAGAAACTAACACTTCCTTTTTTGTCACCTGATGTGAACTTCTATAGACACTTTAGATGTGTATGGATCACTTATTATCAAAAATATTAAGAGTTTGATTGAATATCACATTCATGTAGCTTATGAAGCACAAAAGTTGGAATAATTTGTTCATATTTATGCAATATTTATTACTATTTTTGGTATCAGGACTCATGCCAATCTTTAACTTATGCTGAGTGACTCCTATGTCAAATGGTCTAAAACGAATTTAAATTAAATTGGATTTGATTCAGTTTAAAAATACTTTTTTTTGATAAGAAATATTTTAAAATTTTATTTTATGTTTTTAAAATCATTTTATTAGTATATAATAGTTGTACAGGGGGTTTCATTTCACTGTGACATTTCCATATATGTGTACAATATACCCCAGTTTGATTCATCCTCTCCATTATTCTCCTTCTTCCTCCTCTCTTTCTTTATTTTCCTTTATTGTTGTCCTGGGTGGGGGTACATTGTGGCATTTACAAAGGTTCTTAATATGTATCATATTTGAATTCACCCCTTCCATCACTCTGCTTTATCCCCCTCCCCTGATTCTTGGAGCAGTTTCAACAGGTATCATTTTTGCATTTATATACATGTGTGTACATTATTTGCACCATATTCACCCTCCTACCCTTTCTCCTGCCATCTTCCATCTCCCACTGGTATCAATTCCCTCCTTCCCCCTGTCCTCCAGGCAGGACCTGTTCCCCCATCTTCTCCGATTTTGTAGAAGAGAAAAGATAAAAGATAGAAAGAAAAACATGACACTTCTGCTCATTTGAGATAATGATAGCTACACAGGGAGTTCCCTTGGGATATTTCCATGCACATATGTATTACAACCCCAATTGGTTCATCTGCTCTAGTCCTCTTCACTCTTCCACCCTTCCCATGGTAGCCTCAGCCAGTTAAGATTTCTATATTTATTCCTGTACAGAAAGCACATCAGCCACATTCAAGTTTTTAGTTTCCTTCCCTTCTCCTATCCCTCCTTTGCATGACCTCCCCTCAGTGTGACTGACATCCCACAATATTGCTGCATTTGTTTTAGGTCTACAATCAGCATATGAGGGAGAACATGTGGCTTTTGGTCTTCTGAGGCTGGCTAATTTCATTTTGACTGTTTTGGCTCACTCTTAGTCTTTGCATTTTCATAACGAACTGAGTGACTGATCATGTGGTATTATCATTTTGTTCACTATATATTTGCCTCTCATTAGCAGTAAAACAAACAAGCAAATAAAAACCACTAAAAGATTCCTTGAGGTACACACACACATATACATGCACGCAAATGAGACAAGTTGAAACTATTCCGGGAATGGGGCGAGGAGGAATAAAAGAGAATGATGGGGTGAATTCAGCTATGATATATTTGACATATTGTAAGAACTTTTGTAAATGACACAATGTATCCCCAGCGCAACAATAAAAAAAGAAATATCACTGGGGGGATATGTGGAGATAAGCATAATGAAACCCACCAAACACTCTTTGACAAGCCAGGAGGAAGAAGGAGCAGGTACGGGGATATAATGGAGGTAGTAAACTTGTTCAAAGTACACTGAATGCATCTGTGGAATTTTTGTAATGAAACCCTTTTGTATTATTATTATATGCTAAATCAGAAGTAAAATAAAGTAAAAAACTAACACTAAATGAATTAACAATTTCTGAGTTGCATTTTAATATTTACCCTCCACTCCCATGCTTTTAATAACAGCACATGTATACGTGTTTTTGATTAGGTTGAAGAAGGCTTTAAATTTGACAATCAAGCATAACTCCATGCAGAGTAGATATGCGTGTGTGTGGGGGGGGGCTGGTAAAAGGTATGTTGGAATTAGGAGACAGAGCTCAGCTTTCTAGAACTACTGTTTATCACCGAACTTAACCTCTGATCACTGTTCCTATTCTACTGCCTATGAGCATCATATATGCAGCTGCAAAGTGAAGACAATAATGAAACCTATTTTGAAGTTCATTGTGAAAAACAATACAATACATAAAAGATAGTGTAATACTGAGTATTAAGCTCAGTTTCTTGAGTTCTATCTATTATGTTACTGTTACGATGTCTTTATATTGGGTTTATGGAAGTGGATGGTGACGTGCAGGAGATCAGTTGTGAGTGAGTTTGAAGTCTTGAATAATTTTCTCCCCATATTGCCTTTATCCTAACTATGGCAACTGAGATTTTCTGTGCTTTACAAGTTTGTTCTAACTTCAATGATATGATTGTACTCTGCATTTTTAAAAATGTCTTCCATGAAATCCATAATTTCGTTTGAGTAAAATAGTCTATTGATCTTAAGTCTCATTCTTTCTCTCATTACTCTTATGCCTTATCCATCCAAATCACAGACACCAAGGTTAGAAATATTAGAGTTTACTGGATATTTTTAGCTCAACTATCTGTTATTGGTGGCAAGTTTCACCTTGAAAAATATTCTATTTGAATCTTTTACTCTGCAGTAATGGTATTTAAAACTTCTTTTTCTATGAAAAACTTCTGAAGGATATCCCCCCCAAGCTCAGACTATTCCCTACCACTGTATACCTAAGCCTTTGGCATGCTGTTTATAAGCCTTCCCCTTGAAGACCATATGGTGGCCAATCTTAACACATATGGTCACTTTAGCATGCACTATGCTTTATAGCCAATATAAAGGGCTTTACATATAAACTGTGTGTGTGAAAAGTAGGCAATCTTTTTATTCCTATTTATCAACAAGGAAACTTAGGATTTATGAAGTTGTCTGATGCCCTAAATTTATGCAGGTAGTTAATGAGAATGACTTAAAATTCTAGAGTTAAAATCATCTTCCACAATGCTCAGAATCTCTCTGCATAGTTACCTTTAACTCAACTAGCAAAATGCTTTGTCTTTCTTATTATGCTTATGTCTTCTCTTCAACAAAATTAGAGATAAGGGCAGAACAGTTTCTTCCTGGAAGTGAGGGTGGGGGAGAGGGTGGCGTGGGTAACAGGGGGAGAAATGACCCAAACAACGTATGCACATGTGAATAAATGAATAAAAAAATCTTCCAAAAATATACATGAGATACCCACAGTGAGCATACATTGAGACATCCCTTTGAGTATCAACTTAAATATTAATAATGAAAAACAGGACTGTAAGATAGGTATTGTGTATGGGAGGGTAGAGGATGAATGAAGGAGATTAAGGTGATGGTATAAGGTAGATGGACTTCATATTCATATATGATACAGAACTAAGAAACATCTTACAATTGCTTTAAGTGGGGTGGGGAGGGGCTTGAGGGAGAGAGATGATGGGGCAATGTAAATAATGTACAACATAAATCTAATTGGGGTTGCCACTATGAATTCCCCCTATATAATGAACATATCCTAATAAAAAATTATTAAAAAAGAGTGATAGAGTTGAAATGCAGTTCAGAGAATGTTAATTCATTTGGGACCCCTTTTGGGTTTGAAAAAGGATTATTCTGTTATTCTGGGATTTTGATTACTTGTGCTCATTTTCAACCTTCAATGAAATAAAATATATAGCATACACAATAAAACAGCTAAGCAATCAAAGCATAATCTACACAAACTTTTGTAAATAATTTTGGGGTAAGAGCAGGATTGATCACTAATTCAGTCACTGAAATCATTATGATGAACTTTTTGACATTTATTCTCAGATCCAGCTCAGCACTTTAGAAATATTTTTAAAACTTTTTATTTTCAAGTAATTCATATTGGATATATGTAGTCTACGTTTTGCATGAATTACATTTCTTAGTAACGTATTTATGAAATACAAGAACTTACCATATTTTTTAAGTAGAGAAATAACAGTCAATGCAGCATAGTTAGTCTGAAATGACAGCAGTGATGGGACGTTGCACAGGTTGCATTAAGGAGCTCTGTCTTGGACACTACTCAAAACGTTCCAACTTCTGTGAGGCAGGGAGAAGTGGAGGGAAAGACTTTCATGTGGATCAGGTTCTGAATCTGCCATGAATTCTTTCTCTCACCTTGGATGAATCACTTAACTCTTTTTTAAAAGGAAAAAAATTGATGAATATTTGCCTCACATAATTCCCAGATTGTGTGCATAAATGACAAATAAGAAAGGTCTATAAAGTATCTCAGGAAGTGATTATCTTGTGATAATCAGTGTAGTTTTTCTATTTGAGTGTTTTTCCTGCCTGTGGTTAAAGGTTCATAGCAAGTCTCAGGTCAGGAGAAGGTCTTGTGTATACTAACCATGATTATCATTCAGAACATAAATGATGTCCAGTGGCAGTATGTCCCCTCTAAAACAGCTTAATTTTGAGTTATATTGGGATTTCAGAGGTTAATACATGTAAATCTGGTGAGAATTATCAGACATGGAGAGCTCTGGAGATTTCTCCCTTGAGAATATCTGAAGCTCCTCATCCTGATTTCCTGGTTAAGAAGCACTTAACATGTCTATAGGGATCAAAATGGTTACTGTTTTGAAAAATTAATTTTTAACTCATAAATAAAAACATAAAAACTGCACATATTAATGAAGTACCATCAGATGTTTTTTGCAGGTGCACGTTGTGTAGTTTTCAAATCAAGTTAAACATGTC